GTGGGCTGCTGTAAAGCCCCCCAGGGACAATAAGAGGTGCAGTGTCTCGCTCGAGGACACGTTAGCATGCAGAGCCTGGGGATCGAACCGCCAACCTTGTGAATGAAAAGGATGACCCAGACCCTAATGAAAGTTGTCTCAGCATCCGCCTTTTCTTCATTTCTCCACGTCACCTCCTGGACCCCCAAAATCAAAGCAATGTCACAATTCTGAGGATGTTTTCTAACCAAGTCCACAGCCGTGAGATGAGGAAACCCTCCTGTGTAATCGATGAACGGACAGAGCAGGTCACTTTGTTAGGATCCAAATTATATTAGCGCAATTTAAAAGGTGTCATTTTTATGGCTCAGGCTGCGGCCATGTACAAACTGCTGTCCTTCAACGGTTTGTTCAACGGTTTGTTTCATGAAGGGTGATGAGGGAGAGAGAAACGCAACCACCCTGAGGTGCGTATCAACATGTTATTAAGCCGACAGCCTGGTGTGCTGCCGTTCGCTAAATGCCTTTCCATGCATACACATATGGGTGTTCACTGCCTCTATTAACACACACATGTAAACAGATGTGGAGGAAATTAACTGCAGAGTATCTGAGGAGTGCAAAGTAACTGATGAACAGTGATGCTAGAGTTATTTAATTACCAGGTGTTACGATCAGGATTTTTGGGGCCGATCAATGATCGCCGGAAGCAACGTCAGCCAATCACCGATCACGGGTTCTATTTGAAGCCTTCTATTTATCTTGTACCATTAATAATTTACATAACTATTCTTAACAACGTGGTATAATGAGTATTGAAATTAAAAGATGCTAAAGTATTATGGATTTACCCTTTGCTAAGTCCCGCCCCTCGAACACAGCCTGGCCAATCAATCGTCCAGCTCCAAACAGGGTCCGACAGCAGTCCCTGGTTTCAGGCTAGTGAAGTGTATTTGGAGCTGGTCAAGGTTTAACGGAGACCGAGAGGTTGGAAGGAGATATACGTTTCTACGTTAAAAGTCTGTGGAGCTAACATTAGCACATTATCACATCATGAACTAGCGTTAGCAAGTCTATGCTACGCTAGCTACTGGAGGCATGCTGAAGGTATACACGTGCTGATGATGACAGACCTTTTTGTTAAAGATTTAAATCTTTTTTTGTTCAACCAGAAACAGTATTGCTCTCACTAAATACACCGGACTCCTTTGACAAAAACAGTAATTTTACTGTATCGTAAAACACACTAAACATAAACAAAATAAAACTCGTCAAGACCGCCTAGGTTCATCTTTCCACTTCTTCAACAATCACCAACTCTGGTTTGGTCAAAAATAAACCTTAATCATTTTATTCATTCATTCAGAGCTGGATCATACATTTTCCATAATTTCATAATAAGTATTTTTGTTGTCCCGCTTCATATAGCGTCATATCACAGTGTTTTCAATAATAATGATAACAATGTAAAATCTCAGTAAAACATTGTAACTATTTCAAGTTGTTCAAGTTGAGCTTGTTACAAACTACAGGGTTGAGGGAAGAACAACGGTGTTTAGTCAAAGTACTGATGGACTTTTTTTGCTCAGCACCCACCCCCCCCCAGTCATGTTGAAGACCTGGCCTCTTCACGTCCCGGAGCGGGGGGGAGCTGGAGTATGTGACGGATACGGCAGCAGCTTAGTGGCTTGAGCGTGCCAATATGAATATTTCAACCATGTCCTGCCGGCACAACACATAAGCCCGGTGCCCCACCCTTCTGCTGGGATCAAATGTCAAGCTGGCTGCCAGACGCGCAGACACGTGCAGCGTGGGGCCGCCATGTGTGGGTTGACGGATGTTGTCGCGTGTCAACAACATGGTCTCATGTCGAGGAATTAGGAACAGTACGATTTTTTTTCACCCTGTTATTCTTGAGAATAAAAGGGCCAAATGTATTTCCACTGCAATCACAAAGAGTTGAAGTAGAATTCCTATTAAGAGCTTCTTTAAGAGCTGTTAATTAGAGGCCTCGTTACAACAATCATGCTGTGAGACAACTCACAGAAGAAGTGCATGTGATTTCTCCATTCACAGTAGCTCGACAGACTGGAGCACAACCACAACTCATGGTGAGTTTGGGGTTCGGGCAGCAGCTGCATTAAGACATACATTACCTACTAGAGGTCAGCTGATTTGGACCTGGCTGATTATCAGCTGTGATATCAGCATTTCTACGATTATTTAATTGTTTGTTTTTTTATCCGACTGCAGATAAAATAAATTAATTTAAAAATGTGCAACATTTGCTCTGATGCTACCTGTCTCTGTCTGTAGTCTCACTCAATGTCCCACCCACAGCACTATCTCATTGGTTACACGTCCCGAGTAATAGCCAATACACAGAGAGCAAACGTGAGGCGGCAGATATTGCTGAAGTTAAATATCGTCGGCCTCCTTGATTACTAATAATTGGTATTGGACCTGAAATAACAGTCGATATATATTCATATTTCCAACTTGAGTGCAAATGAAAAAATTCACTGAAAATTGTTGAAATGCAATCTGAAAATGACATCCAATAACCGAGGACCAGAAAAAGGGGAGTCACCAAAAGTTATGAAACTTTAAGGTATTTTTGCTCTAACTTCAAATGAATGTGTCATATCCAGGCGCCAACCTCTGGTTCTGCTGAGTGAAGCTGATGCTGAAGTCTTAAAACTTGCATTCTCTCTACTGACCATCAGGGGGCGACTCCTCTGGTTGCATAGAAGTCTATGAGAAAATGAATACTTCTCTCTTGATTTATTACCTCAGTAAACATTGTAAACATGAGTTTATGGTCTCAATCTCTAGTTTCAAGTCTTCTTCAATACAGCATGATGTTCATTTAGTAAATGATGGTCCATTTAGAGTTAAATAGACCATAAAGCAGGGGATGATTTAGGGTGAGGCTTACTGTGATTGACAGGTTGCTGCCGCTACCAGAGACGTATCCGGCGACTCTACATCACTCCTCCACATTCTAAATATGGTAACTTCCATTGATTGGTTGCCAAAATAAACAACGTAATCCAAGATGGTGACAGGAAAATCGCCAAACTCAAGCTTCAAAACATCAGTCCACAAACCAATGGGACCAATCACGATGACTACGTCCACTTCTTAAATACAGTCTGTGGTCATTTTCGCACATAACCAAGCAATGTACCTCTGCTGCTTCTTGCAAACCAAAGATGCTAATACGTTTAGAGTCGTGAGGTTTCTTGCTACATTTTGCTGTCAGAAAAAAAAGCAATTCACTAAATAAACTCCCAAAAAATCCATCTTCCCTTCAAACTAATAAAAGTATTATGGCTGTCTCTCAAACACACTGTGATTTACCCTAAGCCACCCAGCCATCACCAGTCAATACAACAATGTAAATACACACAACCTCAACCACGACGCGTGGTCCAGGTTCGACTGGCTGACCTCAGCATGCTTCCCTGCTCTCTACTCTCTCCGATGGGTCACGTCTCTGCATGAAGCAGGGGTAGTCTGCTGTGATGCTTCCATTGACACACGTGCTTCAGTTTGTGTCAGAGAGATCCCAAACAGACTTGTCCCAACTCCTAAATGGATCGGATCACAAGTCCAGAAGCTCCCTCACCAGTCATCAATTATTGCTGCGTGCACGAGAGAGTGATGATGGTGCATTTTGACCGGATCAATCGGGCCGAGTGGACTAAGCCTCTGCTAGGACTCTTGACAAACATGCCTGGATTCTGCGGTGCTCCAAAGCCCGCGGGGCCGACCCGCAGTAGTGATATACACGAGGCCCAGTGACCCCCCCCCCCGCGACACGAATTTAACAGCCATCAATTATTAACTGGGGCTTATGAGTTTGCTCGGTGCTGGGGAGGATCTGCCATTGTCTATGTTGAAGAAGCGGCCCACACCCTCACTTTAAAAGGCAACAAACGGAATAAAAGAATGATCGTTTCGAGGTTGGAGATTTCGTTGAGTGACCTCTGCTGTAGCACTAGACTCCGTTCACATTCCGGGTTTTTTAAATTGTTTTTCTCAAGCCGTGGCGAGTTAACGCGCCGGGTCGCGTTGTGCAACATGGGGAAAGGTTCGACACCATCGACACATTCTATCGGATACGAAGATGATCAAATATGCCGAGCAACTGTAAACCCAGGGACGTTACAAGTTGGACTTCTCTCGCCATCAGCTCTGAAAAATGGACATTATACTAATAATGGTTAATTCCCTTCATTGATGAAGTGTGTGGATGAATTTCCCATGGGAAACTGATTTTAAAACATGGCTGTTAAAGCTAAGTGAAATATTTGCCAGTGCGCAAGTGTGTATGGAATTGCCACCCATTATGGCACAGACTGGTAACCCAGGACTATATTTCCGCATCTTGACAAGCACGGCGCAAAATGTGACGGTGTTTCGAGAGAGGCAACGTTCACAGGACGGTGCCACGCTTCTCCCATGCCCAGCGCCTCCTCTCTTGGGAGGCGCCTCCATCCATCGCGAAGGAGACGGATGGATGCTGCGATGGAGGACCCGGCTAGCCGAGCCTCAGCCCACACTGACGGGCTAGGTATGCACGGGTGGCTCTGCTGCTAGCATCCAGGCTAGAAGAGCAGGTTAGCTGCATTCCAGCAAAGAGACGGCAATTTAGACCGACAGGTGCAACAGCATCACCACCCAGCCGTGCACAGCCTCCCTCTCCACCGCTGCTTCCACCTTGACAAATATCCAGGGGATAAAAAATGCCCCCACGCCAACAGCCAACAATCTGGCCAGCGGATCCGAAAACAAACCCGAATGCATATATGCGTTTTTCGTGATATAAGAATTGTTGAATCGCGCGAGCGAATAAGTGGCGAGCTAGCTAACAGTCGCTTCAGCGCGGCGACCAAAGGAACCGCTGTTAGCCTCGTCGCTGGTCGGCTGCCTCCCGTCTTGCTCTCTGAGACGAGGCATCGAATAAAACAGCGAGCGGGAGGAGAAACACACAGTGTGTGCGTGGTTGGACTCACCTCTCTGCCATTTTCCCCGACGGTTCTTTAAAATTCCTTTAGAATCAATCCCACAGCGGCTCCCATGTTGCCGAAATTGCGGTCTCCGCAGTTAACGAGTCACTCCTCTCAGACCAGTGTCAAGCTATCGACAGTGACGAACACCGCTTCCGGTCATTACCTTCACAATAAACGCCTCTCGCCCGACGGTGCCAATGTGGCCCCTGTTGGAAATATAGAAGTGCAAAATAGAAAACGGGACACAATATGTAGACATAAACGTAGGCTGCTGTTGTAATGTCAATAACTCATGGCAATGGACTGGTAAAAAAGAAGACATTATGAAATGTTTTTTTTTGCAAAATCACACAAAATAACATCATTATCTCGGAAATACTCAACAGCATACCAATATGGCAATATTTTAAGATTATTATACATTACATTTTATTCTTAAAAGAGCGTCTATTTACAATATCGAATACACTATTTATTGATGTTATCATTCTTACTTTAATGTCATCTGCACTATGAAATAATTCTGAAAAACTTCCATGAAAGTCTCAGAAACTGCCATAACAAGATGGCCATGCCTGTTTTAATAAAACCACACTACAAACCTGAATACTCATGCGAAATGATGCAAAACAACCCAAACACACATTGCAACTTGTGAGCAGCCAGATTATTTTTTTATCTTGATTTCTTTCCTCTCATAACTGCACCATGGATGTTTTGCTAACACTGTCACGTCAGAGAGTAAAGGGTCGTTAACAGTAGTTAAATGTTATGCATTTTTAAGACAAAAAGGCAATAAACTAAACGACAAACGCATATACTATTTTATGTTGAAGTTAACATCCAATAACATCCGGTGTTAATCTTACTAATTCTGGCGAGCTTTATGGAAAAGGGAAAGCGCACTGCTCGTTTCAAGAGGTGTTGCATTCGTTTTTAAATTAAAAGGACTGTGTATGACGGATTCTTTTAATATATTGCTCATCAGAGGTATCAGGCGGAGGGCTTCATTTGGCCGCCTTTTTCAGGGCTTCAGGGGATGGCAGCCGGTCCCAGCATGCTCTGGGGCACTAGCTGGACATGTGTTCAACGCATCGCAGGGCCACCACAGAAACACAGACACTCCCATTCATACCACACTTGAAAACTACTTCGAGAGGTCGACCCATGTGACTGTGGGATGAGCGCCATGAGGACGCAGAGAAAGCATGCGAACCCACAACAAACCAGGAGTCAAACTACTTCATGTATCACCTGCAAATACATAACAATTTTGTATTTAGTGTCCCTAATTGCTTGGGACTAAAGGTACTTCACTAGTAGTTAACACATTATATGGAACTCTGTTTTCTTCCACTGTGTCTCCGTCCAACCGGTAGATAGTTTTATAAAAGTTCCACCTGGTAGAACCTTTTATAAAGGTTCCACCTGGTAGAACCTTCTATAAAGGTTCCCCTTGTTCCACCTGGTAGACACTTCTATAAAGGTTCCCCCTGGTAGAACCTTTTAAGAACGGTCCACCTTGGGGAACGTTTTATAAAGGTTCCACCCGGTAGATACTTCTGTTAAGGTTCCACCTAGTAGATACCTTTAAAAAGGTTCCACCTGGTGATCTTTCAGAGGGTTATATTTAGGACTTACAAGATTTTACCTACAACCGTCTGCCAAAGGTCCAACACTGAATCTCCTATGAGGGGTTCTGCAGAGAACCCTTCTACAGTGCATTGGTTCCACCCAGAACCCTCTCTGGCAGTTCTATGTAGATCCTTTCCTCCGTCCAATGGTGCTTACACGGAACCCACCCAGGAGGCTCTCCAGAGAACCCTCTAAAACATTCTATGGGTTTCATATACCCCGGGTATTCTATTGAGAAAAGCATATACCAAGAGTGTCATGTAGAACCCACAAGGGTTCTTCTTATTGCTCTTCTAAGGGCCTGGAATAATGTGGTGCAGCGCAACCCACAACAATCATGGTTCACAATCACTGTTTTTGGGGGGTTGCAGCATGGTTTGTGGTCGTTTCCTTTTAACACCTATGCTTTCAACAATAACTCTTTCTTCCAAAAAGGGTTCTTTGGATGAAAATGGTTCTTAATTGAACCCTTAGTCCTGCAAAGAAAAACCCTTTCTTCTGAAAAGGGTTCCTCAGAAGCAAATGGTTCTGGGTCAAATCTCAGCCCTTCAGAAAGAGTCCTTTTGGAACCCTCTTTTTCTGAGAGTGCAGGCAGAACCCCTGCTGTATGTTGCAGGCCTCCTTTAGATTGTGGGTATTTTCACACCTTGATGTTCGCGTTTACACATGTCTCTCGTGGCTGGAGGATCTCAACATCCCATTAGGTGAGCTTCACTCTTTCATCCACACATTGTTTTTGTCTGTTTTCGTTGCGCTCACCTCCACACAGTATCACACGGTATCACACAGTATCACACAGTACCTTCCTCTTGCTGTCTCATTGCATGTCACTCAGCTGCCTCCTGTTGGTTCCTGCGCTTCGCTACGAGAGCTTACAGTTGTCAGGGCTCATGTTTTGAAAGCAGTAACAAGACAGGCCTCAGCATCATTCCCGGGCGGCACCACATTTTCTATCCTTGAACTACATGCAGTATTATAACAACACAATGATATCCACAGTTTTGTAACCAGTCTCATGTGATGGACAACAGTGTACTGCTGGAGTAAATGTAGATGCACTTGAGGGTCATATTAGCTGACAGTTTGTGTGGGTAGAGTTGGCACAGCTGTGCTTTTTGATTGGTGGTAAGGTGTATGTCAACAACTTCTTCTAAGTCCCCAAACCTCATCATCATTGTCAACCTTCGCACCTGTCTGCTCTCACATATGTCATTTGACTTCTTGAGCTGAAGGTTTGCCGGTTGGATCTCTGGCTGACAATATTAATCTGGATGTTCAATAAAGGTTAAGAAGAACAAGTATTACAGCAACAATAGAAGCTTTTAATCTGCAGTTAAACTCTACTTTTCATTGCTCTTGTCTAAAAATATATCATACCTGTATTATTGAGTGATATAAATAAAAAAGGTCATTATATATATATATATATATATATATATATAGATAAATTGATAATAAGCTAATTGAAAAATACTTTATATAGTCTTTCTACAGTCCATATTTATACCAATGTAAAGGGTATGGCTGTAGCGCTGTGATAGTACAGTGTACATTCATGGATGGATTACTGAACGGGCCTACCGGGCACAGACCCAGGGGCCCATAGTGCCAAAAGAGACACAAAAAGACTACAAAGAGACCAAAACAACTACAGAGAGATGGAAAACAACTACAAAGAGAGCACAAAGAGACTCACAATAACTACAGAATGGAGGAAAACAACCGCAGACTAAGAAATAGCTATCAAAAGACCAAAACAATTACAAAGTGACACAAAGCAACTACAAAGAGACTCAAGATGACCACAAAGAGACCAAAACAACTACAAAGTGACACAAAACAACTATAAAGACACTCAAAATGACCACAGAGAGATGTGCAGTGACTAAACAACAACAAAAAGAGGCTAAACATTTAGAAAGTCTGTGTGTCTTGCTTATGTTTAGGAGAGGTTTGTGGGGCCCTTTGCTTGGGTGTGCCCAGGGGCCCATTGTCTCATACTCCGTCCGTATGTATAATGATACAGTGCACACTGTGAAATACAGAGTAACTAGTGGCAGAAGTCATACAGTATGTCTAAATATTATCTTATACAAAGCCAAACTTACCTTAACATTAACCTTAAAAGTATCTATGTCATTTAACAAATCAGAATGTAATGTGTTGATGAATAGTTATCCATGAGAATTTCCATGCAGGGATCAGTGATGTGTTCCCTTCTCATGAAGCCACTCTGGCCTGTAACACAGGTTGTAGGGCCTCTCTGTGGCCGCTGGTGGTACTGCTACTTGGGCAAACTTCTGGAGCTTCAGTATTATTTTACCTCAAACCAAAGTTTACATTATTAATATGATCAAATACACGGTGTGCACTAAACTGCTGTTTTGGGAGAAAATCTTTTGGATGGAGACTGATTTTTTTTGGTTTATTTTAACATTGTGACAACATCATTCAGATATTATTGCAGATATATGTTGACCCAGCATCAGCCTGTTCCTTATTATTAGCGCACCCAATTTAAATGTACAGGCTAATGTCATGTGTGCTGGGTATAACAATAGATAATAGTTGCTTTCAGAACTTTGATTAAAGAACGGTCAACAGAAAACAATATGACATGCTAACCTCGCCAGCTACATTTGAGTCAAGACTCATTTTATAAGGCACATTAAACAACAACAGGAGTTGACCCAAGGGCTTAGAGGTGAATGGGTTAGAATCTGCCTCAATACACTTATACACAATTAAAGACACAAAAAGGTGCATAAAGGGCAAAAATACATAAGTAGTTTGGAGAAACTGAATAAAACAAACAGCAGATTAAAAACCAGAAAGAGGATCTTAGAATAAGTCAAGAGGGGACAGAAGATGTGATTTCAAATTGTCAATGGTGAAACAGGACTCCTCCCACTTAGTGTGAGAGGAGAGGGTTACTTAATTAGACAAACAAATTGTTGATAAACAAATTAAACAAAGGGATTTATTTGTCATGTCAGCAACACCGTCCTGTAGATTACTTGTTCTTACTGTGGGTTCTGAAAAGTTGCAGCGCGTGTGCATTTGCGCCATTTGCATGTGTTTTCAGTGCGTTGAGCTCACAGCCCAGAGAAAATGCCTTTTACGCCGTCACCGCGTTTTACGCACTCTCCGATGTTTAATGTAACAGTGTATTGGCTGTAGCATTACTGTCCATTCGTCATACATAACGACTTTGTGCAAAACTGCCGTGACCCGGATTCGAACCGGGGTTGCTGCGGCCACAACGCAGAGTACTAACCACTATACGATCACGGCGAGTTATCCCCCGGGATAAGACACGGCGTGTCATTTGTCGATCCAAAGAGTACACAGCCATTGAGATAATGGAAAAGTGATAAAACATCCAAATGATCGATAGCCAATCATAAATGATGCACATGAAAACAAGAATAAAATGCGGGCTTTTGAAATGTTTGAAATTATTACAAATCATTTAGTTTGGTGTATTTGGGCACCAGCAAGCTAACTCGCATTTCAAACCACTCACCATACAAAGGGTGGCCTTTCAACTGTCCTCAAAAACCTTATGAATCCTGAGTCAAACTAATTATACCAGCCTTTTAAATAAAAAAAAGTAATATTTTATATTCTTATAAAGGCAGTAAATGCCAGATACTTGTAGTATTTGGGCCCCATTATAAAACCGATATTATCTTTTAGGCTACCAGCATACAGTCCAGTGAACAACTTTTTACCCCTGTCGCCTATTTTCTGTTTGGATGTTTCTATTTCCAGGTAGGAAGTAATCACTCTTGTCCCCCACAGACCCTTAATACAGGAGAGCCAAGTCGTCTCGTGACTCCGCCCCTCTCCGATCCTCGTCCGACGCGAGCCGAGCCTCTCCGAAAAGTAACTCGTGGTCTCATTTCATTGGCGAGACGCTCGTCCAATGAGCCGCGGCCATCTGTGCAGTGCTTGTCACCGTTGAAATTCTCAGGTTACATCTCCTCGAGCCTTTATTAGCTGATTTCACCCTCGAACCTGCTCTCTTATACGTCCTGGGCCCCGTTGAGAAGCTGCCAACATGAAGCTGCCAGCGGCGATTCTCGCAGTTTTTGCGTCGATAGCTGTCACCATTGATGCTACCGTGTACTTCAAGGAACAGTTTCTGGACGGAGGTGCGGTAACTTAACAATTCCACGTCTTCTTGTCCTCTCTGTGAATGGTCGTGTTGTGAAAGTGGCTGCCTCAACTGTCTTTAAGCTATGTCGGTCGGTTTATATTTCTGATATTTGTCCTTTTTAAAACGAAAACGTTTCTTTAAAAATAATCTCACTGCATTCATTTAACCCGTTATAAAAGGCTAGGCCACGTTATGTCCAATAGTCAACCGAGAGGTAATGTAGAAAACTAACGTTAGCTAAAGTAACGTTAGCAATACAGTAACGTAAATGCTGTAATATTATTGTCATAATGGAATGTGAATGCATTAGCTGAGACCCTCGTATGCGAATTCAAGTATTCTTTCACTTTTGATATCGCTCTGAGGCGTATTGAGGGCTTTCATATGGAATTCATTGAGGTCGTGGTGCTGTTTGAACGCTTTTCTGTTCAAATGAACTAAACGCTACTTAGTAAATGGCCTCAATGTGTTGAGTCAGTTCAAATAAAAGCAGAACTTCGAAGGAAAATGTAAAAAAAAAAAAAGCCGTTAGTACCTAGAAAATATTTTAGTATTTTAAACTATTAAAATGTGCACTAAACCAGTATTGGTTAAATTTCGTCTTTTATTGTGAAGTCCTCTTCAAACTCGGTGCAGCAAGTGTGTGTCGGCAACAAGCGGTGTGATAGATGTATGTTGTAATATTGCAGTGTAACGACTAACAGGAAGAGGCTGTCAGTAACCAGTTGAGTTGGTTTGCTGCGTTTCAGAAGGATGGACGAGCCGGTGGGCCGAGTCCAAGCACAAGTCAGACTATGGCCAGTGGAAGCTGACCGCTGGGAAGTTCTATGGGGACGCAGAGGCTGATAAAGGTAATTCATTTTTTTTTTTTTTAAATTCTGTCATTGAGGCATATCTGCGATACTGACCGATGCGGTGTTATCATGCAAATGTAGGCAAAATACGTTTTGTGTTTATGACCTGCTCCAGGTACAGCCATTACAAAGAGAAGAAATCTGTTTCTAAAGTATGTGCTGAGACTAGATCAGAACTGGAATAACCTGTCGGGGGGGCAAAAGTTAGCCCCCGGGCCCCTAGTAACACCCCCGACTCTTAATGCTTTGGGTCCTGTTTTCTGTGCTGGAATACTCCCTGACCCCATGTTTACTCATTTGCATTTTACAAGGTAATCCTGGAACTTTTGGGCTCCTGGTGCAGGCTTGGTTATGTCCTTAAGCACTACAGTAAGACACAGAGTGTCTGGCATATACATATTTATGATTCATCTTATTTAGAATAAGAAAAAGCTTTTAGTGCTTGTCGCCAACGGCTGTTCACTCCTATTTTTCAGGTCTCCAGACCAGCCAGGACGCCCGCTTTTACGCCCTGTCGGCTCGCTTCGAGCCCTTTAGCAACGAGGGGAAGCCCCTGGTCGTCCAGTTCACCATCAAACATGAGCAAAAGATCGACTGCGGAGGCGGCTACGTCAAGATCTTCCCCTCTGACCTCGACCAGAGCAACATGCACGGGGACTCTCAGTATCACATCATGTTCGGTGAGTCACGCAGAGGCCTCGATCAAGGACCACAACTGTTTGAGGAGAGAGAGAGAGCATTGATGCATTTTCAGATTCAGCTGGTTTGAAATGTAGCTGTGACTGAGCTAAAATATTCAATTCAATAAATAACTTATTGTCTCCAGGGCCTGACATCTGTGGATACAGCACAAAGAAGGTTCACGTGATCTTCAACTACAAGGGCCAGAACCACCTCATCAAGAAAGACATCAAATGCAAGGTAGCTACTGCGTAAAGCCTGTTTTGAAAATTTATAGATTCCTGTGAACATGAATTTAGAGATTCTTGCTCTCTCCTAAATTCCCCTTCACCCCGTCTATCCAGGATGACGAGCTGACCCACCTGTACACGCTGATCCTGAATCCGGACCAGACGTACGAGGTGAAGATCGACAACGAGAAGGTGGAGTCCGGCTCCCTGGAAGAGGACTGGGAAATGCTGCCTGCAAAGAAGATCAAGGATCCAGATGCCAAGAAACCCAGCGAATGGGACGACAGGGCCAAGATCGACGACCCCAACGACACCAAGTCTGAGGTAGCAGATCAGGCCCCCGTTCTTTATGTGGGGGCCCCGGGAGTTGCTCAAAAGTAATTCAGATGACTCCATAAACAGGATTCTTAGAACAGGCCCCTCAGATTATTTTCAGACCCAGCTAACACTTCCCTGAGGCAGATGGAGAGATTTTACCCAAATCTAAACCAAATGATGGATTGAAAAATGCAGCATAGTCTGGTCACGTTGCTCAGAATGTATAGCAGTATATTATGATCAACAGGTTTCTGAGCCGATGGTTCTTTGTTAGACAGCTTTCACAGTATTGTGCCACAAATGTCTCATTATAGATGCCATTATAGACGTGATCATGACGACGGCTATAAAAGAGTATGTTGGCATCTATAATGAGACATTTGTATGAATCTATATCGCCTCTTTTTGAGATGATAAACTGTGGTTCGAGAAAATGTTGCTAATAGTTTAGCTTAGCTTTCTGTCCTCCTCAGCCGTCACGGCAGCTGCACGCTCGCACTGAACACTATTAGAGATGGAAAGATGGCCCACTGTTAGGCTTATTTTCTGTAACCATGTAGCATCAAAGCTTGGTGGAAATAGCATGATAACTAGCGGGTGGCTGGCTACTGAGCTGCCTTGCTCATTCCGCCAGGATTTCGTGCTACAAGAAATGATCGGATCAAAGTTGTCACTTGACTGGCGATAGCGATGTGCTTATCTACGCTGAGACAAGAGTGTGTGGATGAAGCATTAAGTTGTTAAATTTGACTCATTTAGCATTTGGCTAGTTTGCTGCTAAGGCCACCATGCTTTCATGCTAACTGTTACCCTGGTTACAGAAAATAAGCCCAACAGCAGGCTGGTGTCAAATAATCAAGCTAAGCTAATTTAGCTTTACATGTACCGGGCCCAGGTCACGTCCCTGCTTCATGATGTGCACAGTGTTATAGCATTTCGTTTTTACAATTTCGGACTTCAGTGGTGACTCTGTTTCTGCTGCCTTCCCAGGAATGGGACAAGCCGGAGACCATCCCTGACCCCGATGCCAAGAAGCCTGACGACTGGGACGAGGACATGGACGGAGAATGGGAACCTCCCATGATCACCAACCCAGAGTACAAGGTGCGGCTTTTATAGGAGGGCAGGGCTGGAGCTTTGTATAGACAAAATGATTGATCACCATTTGAAATCCTTTTACCGGTGTTATTTTAGACTTGGGTTAAGTGAAGACATTGCTTTCACCATGGACTTGATCTAATAACCTGTACCAATCACTAGTTCTAACCTCTCTTGTGTCGCCTTTGCAGGGCGAGTGGAAACCCAAGCAGATTGAGAACCCCGACTACAAAGGGGCCTGGGTCCACCCTGAGATCGACAACCCAGAGTACACCCAGGACGCCACCATGTACAAGTTTGATAAAGTTGGAGTACTGGGCCTGGATCTGTGGCAGGTAATGATTATTACTCTCCCAATGAGTTGTAACAAGGGAGTTGCCGAACATGCGTATACAGAAAGACTTGTGATGTCGTTGAGGAATTAACGCTCATATGATTGGCGTCTTTGTTCAGGTTAAATCTGGCACCATCTTTGACAACTTCCTGATCGCTGACGATGTCAAAGAGGCAGAAGAGTTCGGGAAGGAAACTTGGGGCGCTACCAAGGTAGGACTGTAGATCAATGCTGTGTGAATTAAATAGGTTTTGTGCTCAGTTTCTTTTTTTTTTTTTTTTTAAATGTCAAATTTTAAAAAAAACTGAGCAAATGACTCATAAGTACCCGGAGCTATTCAGTTGAAAGTGAAGAAAAGCAGCCCAAAGTTCACGCCCACCACTGCAAAGTAGGGCTGGGCGGTATTTTTCATATACAGTCATACATGCATAGCCGAAACAACTTTTGTCACTCTTCAACAGGCAGCAAAATATATTGTTCGCCCCTGAAAGAGCTATGGTCGGAGCTAGTTTTCTTAAGTGTATTGAGAGGGAACCCTAGTCATGGTCATAACTTTATAACAACAATTAATAACCCACAACTAACGCTCTTTAACAGAGTAAAACACCACGACACAACAGTTTGTCACAAACAATTTGTAACACTAATAAATTGTACATTTATACAATTTTACCGCCGAACTGCATGCTGGGTACAGCTAGCTAACAACAGTCTGCTAACAGCTGGGAGAGGCTCTGTCGCTCCAGTAACGTTACATTAATTAAAGAACAGAAAAGAGTGAAGCAGGATGAACAAAGACTGAACAAAAGGTATTTTGGTTAGACACATATGCAACGCTGATTACCGTAATATGTGTGGTATTTGTTATAAATGTACGTTGGTACATAGAGGGTGATAAGAAGCTGTACATGGAGGGACTTAGGACCCAGGGGAATGTAGGTGAAGGAAACAGGAAGTGACGGAACGGAAGACACGCCACACAAACAGCTGTTCGCTGCTCGCTGGCCGGTTGACCGGCTGGTTCTTTTTGGCATTAATTTATTGATGCTTTAATGGGGGGAAAAAAAAAATACCGTGAAACCGCCAGAATCTTACAAAATACCATGATATGCATTTTTGGTCATACTGCCCAGCCCTACTGCAAAGACACTGGGCTGTGTTCCAATACCCCTACCACCATACTGCTTAGTATGCCAGACAAAGATTTAGTTTGTCTCAATACATCGTATGTTTAATGTAGTATCCCAAAAAATACCGGGATGTCCAACTGCATCCATTGGGCGTCACTGGCTATATTGATCCAACAAGCAACGGGGTTCAAGGTGCTGTGTTATGAGGAAGTAGTATGTCAGAATTAACCAGTGCATACCTTCTTACAGGCAGCTGCAGTATGTACTGAAAGCCTCTGCAATTTAAAATGTAGTGTGGGTTTGATTCCTGGTAGCACTACTTCCTGCTTGGTTGGTTCTGCTCTACAAATATGTACTTGTTGCCTGGTAAAGCACATCATGAAGCAGTACTTAGGAGTGGCGAGGAGAGCCATGTGTATGGCTCTCCAATCTGGACTGACAACATGTTAAGCTAGTCCTAGCTCCCAGGACTGGCTTAAACCTCTAGGTGTAGGTCACAGGCTAGCTTCTAGCGGGTTAAGCTCGGTCTAGCACACTGGCTAGTTCCAAGCGGGTTTACTAGTCCCAGCTCAGAGTAGCTCCTAGCAGGTTAAACAAGGTTTAGCCTACAGGGTAGCTCCTAGAAGGATAGGATTGGTCTAGCACACAGGCTAGCTACTTGTGGGTTAAGCTAGTCCTAGTCACAGGCTAGACAAAATGGTATTTTTAAGTGAAAGGAACACATTATGTTGTACATGAAGAAAATATATTCCTCTATTGAATCCCAGATAAATCCCACAGTGACTTGAATCAAAAGTGTTGTTGACATCAACATAGCTGCACTTGTTTTAAGAACACCCATCAAATATTATTAAACATTGTCAACTGGAACACCAACACCTGTTCAAAACTTCAAACGACTTGTCCTCTTTGCCCACCAGGAACCAGAGAAGAAGATGAAGGACGAGCAGGAGGACATGGACAGGAAAGTGAGGGAGGAGGAGGAGAAGAGCAAGAAGGACACTGAAGGCGGCGACGAGGAGGAGGAGGAGGAGGAGGAGGAAGAAGACGGCGAGGATGATGATGAGGAGGAAGAGGGCGAGCACAACGAAGAGACAGACGAAGACGCCGGGACAGAAGGGGAGGACGGCGACGCCAAAGGGAAGGACGAGTTGTAAAGACTGCTGTGTGCTTCTAAACCAACGAAGGGAAAATCAGAGAAAGCCCTATGGACACTGGCCTTTAATACAGCAGCCTTTTATTCAGGTGTAGGGGGAGGGGTGGAAGGTGGGGTCAGGTCAGATTTCTTTTTTTTTTTTAATTGATTTGTTTTTTTAGCTTTCAAATTAGAGAAGGGAGAAGGGTTTACGTGTTTATTTGCCTCCGTTTGTGTGTCTGCTTTGGTTAAGAATGTTCTAATTTAATGCGACTCACTGAACGGTCTCACGCAGAGCCAATTCATTCTTATTATTGCTTTTGTTGGGATAAATCGAGGGTTTGTGATGTCTGGTTCATGCACTTTTATTCCTCCTGTGTAATGTAGTACCATTTTCTTTTTTTAAATGACCCCCTTCATAATTTATTCAATCATTACATTGATTCCCTGAAAACACGTCAGTTTCTAACGCTCTGATTCGGGGCATAGGTCCTTCCTGCAACTCTGTGTGTGCGTGCGAGAGAGTGAGACTGCATTAAACAAACTGTGATTCTTACAATCGCCATTTTCCTCATTGTTCTGAATGAGTGACTGCTCTGTGGGTGAACACTGCTCTGTTTCAGTGAATAAAAATGAAGCCTCTCTACAAGCTGACTCCTATTTTCAATGGTTTTGGTCTGTCTTAATGTATATACATATACCACATCCCACTGCCTTCCTCAGCAAGTCTACTTTGGCTCAGTTGTCACATGATCAAGTATGAATGTCGGTCACATGATATCGGGTGGTTTTGTGTCTGTATGAAGATGGTCTCGGCCAGTGGATGTTAACGTCTTGATCTTTCTCCAGCCGTCCAGACTTAAAACTCGTTCTTCATTTAAAGGTGCAATATACGAGATTCAGAGCATTGATATAGTGGGAAACTACTACTACCTATGTAAAGATATAGTGGAGTACTGTATACATGAGCAGAGAATGAACTTTTCCCAGTGAAGTCAGAAGTTTCTAATCGAGAATGGGGAAATGTCTGCTCCAAGAATAAGCACATTAGCCTCCGATTCTGCCCACGCATTTGTCAACTTTCTAATACCTGACACTTTTTGATACTTTATGCTGCGAACACATTTTGGCCAGTACTCAAATTATTGAGGTTGTTTAACAAACACAGAGGTTATTAAATGACAGGCTTCATCACAAGAATTCCAGTTTGAATTCATTATGTGGGGCTTTTATTTTGAAATGGGGGGGGAGGGGTGAAAAGGAAAAGTCCTCTCAAAATCTGTAAGACATAAATGACTATGAGAGAGACACACACACAGAGAGGCAAAGAGAGAGACTGAGTGTATGTGTGGGGGGGAGTAGGGGGGTGAAAGGGGAAAAGTCCTCTAAAATTATCTAATACCTGAATGACTGTATAATAGAGACAGACAGAGACAGACAGACAGGAGGTCTAACAATGTCTTTGACTGAATATCTCCAAGTCATGTGTGTGTGTGTAGAGAGACAGACAGAGAGAGCGTGCCTGCGTGCGTGTGTAACTGGTTGCCATGTTGAGGATGCACCTGATTGGAGAGGCAGACTGATTAAGAAACGTTACAGTAAACAGTGATTTTGAACAAAACCCCTGCCTCCTTTTAACAAAAAGCAGGAGTCTGAGTGCCAAAATATGGGTACCATGAGAAAGATAAGACTATGCCAAACGCGGTGATGTGCTTTTTATGTTTGTGGTGTTAAAAAAGTTGAGCTCCAGAGTAGGGCTGCACAAATAATCGAATTTTAATCGCGACTCCAGTATTAGTAGAAGAGTAGAGAGACAGACAACAGAACAGAGAGCAGACGGTCATTTATATTTTGCTTCAGGTGAATAAGAACCGTATAAGTTTTATTTTGATGCAAAGACATGTACATTAGCTGGAATGTAGCACAACATGGATGTGGAAGCAGTGCTCTGTTGATTTAATTTTGGGTAAAAAGTGTTGATACTATTTAATTGTTGGAATGCTGTTAAGCATTCCAACAATTAAATAATCTTTATTCCTCCTTATTTTATATTTCTTCCGTACACTTTTTGCTACTTAACTCCTTCCACATTTTTTAAGCCACAGAAACCGGTCAACTATCAAAATGTTCAGCTCTTTCAGCTCATGTCTGCTATGACTTTTCATATTTCTAATCTTTAAACTTTTTGAATTATTAAGCTTTTTGCAATTTTTATTTTGAATGGGATGTCTATGGAGAAAATTTTCAAATCCTCTTAAACTTCTTCAACTTTCAAATCCTTCTACTTCCTCATACTTTCAGCTACAGGCACCATTTCAACTTTAAAATGTTGAGAAAACCCTGAGCTATTGCAGAATGATTCAGCTTTTTGATATCTTTTACACTTTTTGAACTGCAGCAATTTAACTTTTATGATTTTTTCAGCCCTTTTCTGACTTTATAATGGGTGTGTATTGCGCAGCTTAGAGTGCGTGATGTCACCGCTAGAGTGAAGAGCAGCTTGAGATTCTTGTGAAAAAAAGATTTGTGTTTTGCCACTGTGTCCATAATCTTCACTCTTCATGCATCATTTTTGATGGAGAAGTAGCTAATCGTGTCCTTGTCGTAGACAGATGTCTGTGGAATCCCACAGATTTACACATTTGGCTCAAGGAGCCGCAGAGCGACATGAACTCCAACAAACTGCTCCATTAAACTCCATGTTAGATCTGACCACTCATTTCTCAAAGAAAGCAGACGGTACCAGTTTTGTCTATTGCTCTGGAGCTCACATTTTTAACACCACAAACATAAAAAACACATTACCGCGTTCGGCAGAGTCTTATCTTTCTCACGGTATCCATATTTTGGCACTCAGACTCCTGCTTTTTGTTAAAAGGGGCTTTGTTCAAAATCACTGTTTACTATAATGTTTCTTAATCAGTCGGCCTCTAACACCAGGTGCGTCGTCACCATGGCAACCAGTTACACACGCACGCAGGCTCTCTCTCTCTCTCTCATACAGTCATTCAGGTCTTAGAGATTTTAAGAGGACTTTCCACCCCCCCCACCCCATTTCAAAATAAAAGCCCCAGAGAGTGAACTCTACCTGAAATGCTTGTGATGAAGCCTGTCATTTAATAACCTCTTTTTATGTGTCAAACATTACGATTATGTCTCTTCTCCCCCACCCAGTCCCTACTGCTACTACTACTACTACTGCTATTCATGCTACTACAAGTAGTATTACTACTACGGCTATTAGTACAACTGCTACTAGTACTACTACTACTGCTACTTCTTCTACTGCCATTACTATTACTACTATAACTACTTCTACTGCTACTACTGTTATATTAAATACTACGACCAATACTACAGCTATTACAATGACTACTGATACTACTACTTCTACTACTTCTTCTAATTACTAATACTTCTACTACTACTAATACTTCTACTACAACTACAACTTCCCCTACTACAAATATCACTACAGGACTTGTCCCTTTCAAAATGTTCAGCTCTTTCAGGAGAGGGGTGCTTTGACTTTTCATATTTGTAAACTTTTAACTTTTTGAAATATTAAGCTATTTGCAATTTTTTTTAATGGGATCTCTATGGAGAAAATCTTCAAATCCTGTTAAACTTCTTCAACTTTCAAAGCCTTCTTCTCATACTTTCAGCTACAGACACCATAGTTAGACATTTCAAGTAGAAGGGTTTTCAGCAGTGCAGTTTAAATGCTTTCGGGCTTCAACATTTTTCAGACAGGTAGTCTCCCATTTCTTAATTTTCAGCAATTCTTTTACAATTAATTTCAGCTTTCAGCATTCCAACGCATTTTCAGCAGGAAATGCATTTTCTAGTTCCTCCTTATTTTCTATTTCTTCCGTACGCTTTTTGAAACTCTTCTGCTCCTTCATATTTTAAGCTACAGAAACCATTCAACTATCAAAATGTTCAGCTCTTTCAGCTCATGTCTGCTATGACTTTTCATATTTCTACATTTTTTTGTATGGGATGTCTATGGAGAACATTTTCAAATCCTCTTAAACTTTTTCAACTTTCAAATCCTTCTAATTCCTCATACTTTCAGCTACAGACACCATTTTAACTTTCAAATGTTGAGAAAATCCTGATATATTGCCGCATAATTCAGCTTTTTGTTATCTTTTACACTTTTTGAACTGTAACAATTTAACTTTTATGATTTTTTCAGTCCTTTTCTGACTTTATAATGGGTGTGTATTGCGCAGCTCAGAGTGCGTGATGTCACCGCTAGAGTGAAGAGCAGCTTGAGATTCTTGTGAAAAAAAGATTTGTGTTTTGCCACTGTGTCCACAATCTTCACTCTTCATGCATAATTTCTGGATTTAAAAGTAGCTAATCTTGTCCTTGTCGTAGACAAATTACTGTGGAATCCCACAGATTTACACATTTGGCACAGAAGCCAGTAATTGAGAGGAAAACCAACTTTCTGCTCCATAGAGACCAATGTTAATTTTGCCTCAAAAGCATCTTCCACAGAACACGGTACCCCATTTCTAGATCGCCAGTTCAGCCACAATTTTTACACTACAGACACAATTTTTACAGGATCTGTTCTTCAACTCATCCTTCCTCTCATTTATTAATATCGAAGCAATAGGAGCTACGGTTATGGGAGTTTTGAGGATTTGTTTGAGAGGCGTTTCCCTGTTTAATCTCCATGAAAAGGCTGCAAGGACACAGGTGTTTCTGATTAAGCTAATTAGTGATGTTGATAAATACAGACTCACAGACACACACGCACTCCTCTCTCTCTCTGTGTGTGTGTCTCTCTCTCTCTCTCTCTCTCTCTCTCTCTCTCTCTCTCTCTGTGTCTCTCTCATACAGTCATTCAGGTTCTTATAGATCTTTAGAGGATCCCCCCCCCACACACACACCCCATTTCAAAATAAAAGCCCCATAGAATGAATTCTAACTGAAATGCTTATGATGAAGCCTGACATTTAATAACCTGTTTGTGTTTATCTAACATTATGAGTCCATCTCTCCCCCCCACCCAGCCCCACCCTTTCAAAATAAAAGCCCCATTGATTAACTGTATGTAAACATTAAGCTCAAAATTAGGCTTTTTTGTTGAAATAATGAATGCTCTTACTAATACTGTGACAACTACTACTGCTGCTAATGTTTCTAGTATTACTACTACTACTGCTGCTACTACTTCTACTACAACGTTTGCTGTTGCTACTATTACTAGTGCTATTACTGCTACCATCAATATTATTACTACCACTACTGCTATTACTACCACTACAACTGCTACTACTGCTATTCATGCTACTACCAGTACTAATACTACTACAGCTATTAGTACGACTGCTACTAGTACTACTACTACTGCTATTACTGCTACTTCAAATGCTAAAATTACTTTTACTACTACTACTACTACTACTGATATATTAAATACTACGACCACTACTACAGCTATTACTACTACTACTGATACTACTACTTCTAAATACTAATACTTCCACTACTAATGATACTTCTACTACAACTACAACTTCTACTACTACTATTACAAATATCACTGCTGCTACTACTTATTCTAATGCTACTAATACTTCTACTACTAATGATACTTCTACTACAACTACAACTTCTGCTACTACTATT